CCCCCCCCCCCCCCCCCCCCATCAACATGCTTATGACATTTTTTATAATTTTTTTCCATTTTTATTACATACTTTTTAAACACCCAGTAATTTCATCTCTAGATCTCTGTGCTTCTCTATGCAGTGCACAGTTTCCTTAGATGGATACATTTACATGCAGACCGCCCTAGGTAATGGCCACATGTGACGGTGATCTTCCATAACTGAAAGAATTCAAATCCAGTGAATGAAAGGGGCGGGCCAGAGACAGTCAAGGTAGGGAGGAAAGGGCTAGGTTTTGCTGGAGGAGTTTATTATGACCACCTGATGCTTGTAGGCTAATTAGCTATAATTTCGGTCGTGGAGTCATCTCATGGCCCAACGAAGTACTGATGGGGTGGTCATAATAATCTGGCCACTCAGTGTATATTACTGTATATTACATGTTATATTGTATAGTCACTCACTTGAACCCCCTTCCCTTCGCCACTATAAATTGTATTCTTTCAAAGAAAACTAAAATGAAACAACAATTCAGTTCCTTCTGCCGTCTCTCTTATCACTCCGCTGAGACGTGTTCGTGACCTGCACTCACAAGGTCTGGAAACCTCATGGACCACACGCTCACGAAACATGTCGATGACAGGAAGTGTAGACAGTGAAGTGTCAGCATCATGTCACAAGTGGTTTTCTTCTATACAGATCAGATGGAAAGAGAATGTAGTAAAAAATCACATATTGCTACATTTCCAACACTGAGATTCCAAAGAACGCGCGGCGCACTTAAAAACCGCGGTGCTCAGTCAACATCATAACCTTAGGGGGCATAGAATGGAGTGACAGCATAGCTCTAGGAACTCCAGACCAAATTTGTTCAACCTTGTGTTGGATGGGGAGGGTGAGAGTTTAAACATTTTTCAGGTTTTAATTGGTATGTGGTCACCAGGAGGAAAAATAGCAGTAAATATGCTCAACAAAGATACATATAACACAAAAGCTCCTATGTACCAGGAATAAACCTTCTTACCCTGCTGCCCAATCAGCTGCGTCTGGGGGAATTTCCCATCCACAGCTGCAGGTAAGCAAAGGGGCGGGGTGCAGTGACGCCATTGACCTTATATGGCCACATGACTATATTTGGTCAATGGCACTGACCTGAGGTGCACTCTAAGTGCCCGGGTTGAAGAACCACCAAGGCATACGTGAAATGACTGCTGGTAACTTGTAGTGCCGTCTTTTAGGGAATAATGTTAGGTTGGTAACCTTTTGTTCTTTCCAAGTTCAGTTTAACCAGCTTTCCAGCAACAAATGTGTCTTCTAAGATAATACAATTCCCAGTTACATAGTTACTTAGTATTTGAGGTTGAATAAAGACACAGGTCCATCAAGTTCAACCTATTGTGTGTGTGTTTTGGATTCTGCATGTGTATGTGTGTATATGAGTCCCTGTGTGATCTTATTTTTTAAGAGTACCTGTACCCCTGTATGTTACGATCTCTGAGGAAATTGTCCAAATGCATTTTGATTGATTCAACACTCTCAGCTGATAGCACCGCTTGTGGCAGAGAGTTCCAGACCCTAACCGCTCTAACTGAAAAGAAGCCCCTACGCCCCTTGTGGTTAAATCTTTTCTCCACCAATTTTAGGTGGTGGCCTCTGGTCCTTGTTATGGATTTTACCGTAAAATGTTTATTGCTGATGTGATATTCCTTTCTATTAGACATGTGCGATTTGTTTCGTTCCGAATCGAAATTCGGACCAAATTTCGGAAATTCGGAGATTCGGATGTATCCGAATTCCGAACGACAGATATAACGAATGCAAACGAATCCGAATTAGTTTTTTGGACTAAATTTTGTTGCAGCAAAGTGACATTTGAGAACAAAAAAACTTTTTTCCCCTCTTAAATGCAACGAACGAACGTAACGAATTAGGAACGAAAGTTCGTACGGATTTCGGCTAACGAATTTCGTCCGAATCCGAATTTCGAAACGAATTGACTTTCGGACCGGAATTCCGAAAAACGAAATAAATTGAAATATAATTGAAATAAATACAAATGAAAGGACAAATAATTCAGAATGTATCTGTATGCACTGCGCACACCTACCTCAAAGTCCTCCCAGCGCAGTTGTGGTCGGGTGGGATGCTTGTTGTCCAATAAGATCTGCAAGGTGATGTTAAGCACCGCCTCCTCCGTCAGGTCCTGATGAGTGTAGGAGCCCCAGGTGACGGACAGGAACTTGGACCAGAAGTTGGGGAAGAAGGTGTGGCCCCCTGGTAGGGCCAGGCACCACAGGAGCAGTAAGGGGAGGAGCATGGGATGGGAGGAGCTCATGGGCGCTACATTGAGATGGCCTGCAAGGGAAGAGAGTGTATATATATATCAATTTAGGTAGGAACAGATATAGATCCAATGAGCAATGGTTATACAAATAGCCCAATAACAAGGTTATAGGGTGACATCGTTGTGTCCCTGTCCCCCAATCGTGCTCCTGCGTTGTCACCTTGTCACATAGGTTTCTGCTATTTTCAGTATTAGAAAATCAAACGTTCAATTTTTTCAAACAAAATTCTGCTGGGGTATGGGCAGCTTTAGTTTCCCCTTCCCCAGACTAGAGAAGCATTTTATCCTTACTATTTGTGGAGGGGCACCCAAAAATAATTTTTAAAGGCAATGAAATAATCAAAGAGATCAGTTATTACACTTATACAAGAAGACAAATCAGTCACAAGTCAATAAATACAGCAGATGAAGTGCAACGCTGCTAAGTTTATATCCTCAAACACTCCCCTCCAGTCCATCAAGTAAATTACAGATACATCGTACGTAAAGCACTTCAAATTGTCGCAGTCATGATGTGATAAATCAATACTGCAATTAATATTGTATAATCTAATCACTACGCCGCTTCCTTTGTGAAGCCAACATCAGTCATTTCAATAGCCATTAATAGATCCTCAGAGAGTCACAATGTCAGTGACATCTTCACCTCTTTCCTCACCACAGTCCCATCAGAGATAGATGACTGCGGAGTTTATTGAGGCCACTTTAGTCCTTTATTTATAAATATCGGGCTTCCCAGAAAAACAAAATAGTATAAAAAGCCAAAAACAATACATTAGGATATGAGACCTAAATCCACACAAAGGAAACAATGTTTTATTATACAGATGGGCAAATTTGAGAAAAATAATGCAGGGATAAATACATTTCCTTCTTTCTTTCTCTTTCTTTCTTTCCCTCTCCTCTTTCTTTCTCTATTTATTTGTTTCTTTCTCTTGTTCTCTCCTTCTCTCTTTCCCTCTCTTTCTTTCTTTCTTTCTCTCGCTCTCTCCTTCTCTCTTCCCCCTCTTCTCTCTCCCCCCCCTCTCTCTCTCTCTTTCTCCCCCTCACTCTTTCTCTTCCTCTCTCCCTCTCTCTTTCTCTCTCTCTTTCTTTCTCTCTCTCTTTCTTTCTCCATCTATCTCTCTCTCTCTCTTTCCCCTCTCTCTCCCTCTCCTCTCTCTTTCTCCCCCCTCTCCTCTCTCTCTTTCTCTCTCGCTCTGTCTCTCTCTCTTTCTTTCTCCCTCTCTCTTCTCCCCCCTCCTCTCCCTCCCTCCTTCTCTCTCTCTCTCTTTCTCCCTCTCTCCCCCCCCTCCCTCTCTCCCTCACTCTTTCTCTTCCTCTCTCGTTCTTTCTCTCTTTCTTTCTCCCTCTATCTTTCTCTCTGTCTCTCTTTGATAATATTTTCCTCCCTGAGAACATTGTGAGCAGTTTATGACCTGTGGAAGAATTATCTGATGACGCACTGCTGAGGCCTGGGTCACCTGACACTCCCAGCATCCTTTGTGGTTCCAATTTCTGGGGCCAAACCATGGCTTTACAGGATGTTAGTAGCTCACCGCAGGACCACAAAGCCAAGTTCTCAAAATAAACACAGTTTTTAGAGCCAACTGAACTTTTAGTTTAAATCAGCTAAATACATTACAAACACAGCAAAACAAAGTGCAAAGTCTTACAGTTAGTTTTCTTTAGAAAGCAGCCACAGCCCGAGTAGAAAAGCCTGTCCCCTGCCAGCATTCTCTACAGTGCAGGACCCTTGCTCTTGGTGTGGAAGCAGTGGTCTCTATGCAGAGGTCTGACACATTTCTTTCCTGGTTCATCAATTCTGCTTAATATGTCAAGTCTCTACCTCCAGCCAGCTCATTGGACAGTGAATCAGCATCATTGTAGATTCAAGCATTTAACAGACCTCAGCCACCTGTTTCTTTGTCAATTTGCAGGTTTTATCAACAATGATGACGTGTATTTGTTAAAGACTTAGTCAACAATGACCAGACTTGTGGTGTATGACTGGATTATTTTCCAATTGTAACCAGGCTCTTCGTGTCTACACTGGGAAAGTTAAAAGGGGAATTTGGTTGGTTGCTGTGGAATATTGTCACACCATATTCCGACATCAAGGTCTGTTTGTAGCGCCCATGACATCAAGGACTCTTTGCAGCCCTTCACGGTATCAGGTACTGTTTGTAGTCCTTCATGACATCAAAGACAGTTTGTAGACACCAATGACATCAAAGATGGTTTGTAGCCGCCTCTGACATCAAGGACTGTTTGTAACCATCCATGACATCAAGTATGGTTTGTAGCCGCCCTGATATCAAGCACTGTTTCTAGCGGCGCATGACATCAGGCATGGTTTGTACCCGCCCATGGCATCAACGACTGTTTGTAGCTGCCTATGGCATCAAGGACATGTGTAACTGCCTCTGAGATCAAGTATATTTGTAGCTGCCCATGATATCAAGCACTGTTTGTAGCCGTCCATGACATCAAGGACTGTTTGTAGCCGCCCCTGACATCAAGGACTGTTTGTAGCCACCTATGATATAAAGGACTGTTTACAGCCGCCCAAAGTCATTTTTAACCCTTGCCTTCAAGGAGCACATTGGTCTCAAGTACACCTAGAGGATGATTTATGAATCATCCACCCAGCCATACGCTGGCTGAATGCCACTCACACAGCATTCCCGCCACTAGATGGAGCTGTGGAGGATAGGAAATTCCTATGCTCCTCGGCTCCATCTAGTGGCAAGATTGCTGTTCGAACTGCATTCAGCCAGCATATGGCTGGGTGGATGATTCATAAATATTCCCCATGTAGTTAGATGTGTTTGTAAGAGAATGCAGCTGAATGCCACGTGTGATGTCACAACTGGGAAAAATATTGACACAATCCATCTTATCTCGCTTCATTCATTTTCTAAGGCTGGTGTCACATTCATCGCATTGCCGTGAATGTTTACAAAAGGTCTGGTGAAAGGTCTGAGTGAGAAAACGTATCAGGAGAAAGAAACTGTGTGAACTTGGTATGTACAACCTCGAGGAAAAAAGGGACATGACTTAAACCTTTATGCCCTGTTCACACTAGTGCGATTTGTCCTGCGTCTGCCACGCACTGCAGTGCACGCCAATGGAAATCATTCACTATAGTGCCCATTCACAGCGATGCAACATGGTGCAATGTGATGTTTGGAAAGGTATTGGTGCTTTTTTTGGTGCTACACATCTCATTTGTGGCCCCATAGGTTTCAATGGGAGCGCATGACCACATGTGCATGCATTTTGAACGGCATTCACCCAGCGCTCGGCTGAGTGGACATTTTAGAAATCATCCCCTAAGAGTGTGAATATGGATTAGGAGGGCAGTATTTTCATTAGACACCAAGATAAAGAACACGGGGACATGATCTGGAACTAGCAGGTGGAAAATTCAAAACGAAAGTATTATTTTAATGAAAGAGTAGATGATGCTTGGAAACAGACCTCCAGTAGAGGTAGTGAGCCATATAACAGTAATTAAATTAAATATAGATCTATGCTAAGACAAAAAGGTTATAAAAACAATTTTTTTTTAAAAGGGAGTATACTTGTTGGACCATTTGGTCTGTTCTGCCTTCACTCTTCTATGTTTCTTACAAGACTGGACCATGTGTGACCATCCAGAGTGCCAGATCAAGGTCTGGGCATACTCCAGGAGCCAGACAGCCACTGAACCCAAATAAGTGACCCCAAGTACTGAATTCTGGACATAGACACCAACATTCTCAGAGATTTATTGGCTTTCATCTACTTTCAGCCAAAAGACAAGCAACGTGGTTAATGCAACCAAATGCCAACAGATTCTACTAAAGCTGCAACATTGTGACCTGTTTGCCGTAGTTATTGTTATTGTGGTTTTATTCAATACTTGGCAGCTGATTATATCTGATTGTAACTGTCTGTAGATTGCCTCTGTGTAGCCATCAAGATGTGATTTGAAGTGTTGTATTGTTGTCAATGGACTCACATTCCTTGGCCTCCTCAAGGTTCTTCATGTGTCTCTATGGAGAACTAACAGCCTCCTTTTCCCCCGCCTCACTCCTTTGAAATTGTAAATGTTGAAAGAGCCTCTGGAATACTTTCCAGTCCTGCAAAGATCGACTCCCCCGACTCTTGTGATGGCTAGTTACATAATGGTGTGCCTAGGCAATGGTCATATACACTGAGAGGCCAGATTATTATGACCACCTGACGTTTGTAGGCAAATTAGCTGTAATTAGCTATAATTTTGCGCTGAAGTTGCTAGAGGGCCAGACCATTATAAATAGGGAAGCAGGTTGTTTACCACGACAGTAGAAGTGATTTTGTTTCTGAAGATACGGGTAAACAACGCGATTTAACAGCCTTTGAATGTGGGATGATTGTTGGCGCTCTGAGCCATGGAACGAGTTCAGCAAAACAGCAGATTTCGTTAAATGTTCAAGAGCAGCTGTTGTTAAAGTGTTTAAAGACTGGACTGTCAGCCGCAAATCTGGGTCTGAACGTGCGAATTGTGGCCGTCAGCGACTATTCAATGTTAGGGCAGAACGGAGAGTGGCAAGACTGGTACAAGACAACAGAAGGGCAACAGTGCAGTGTCAGATTCCTCGCATCACCTTTCAACATCTCGTGGAGTCACGAGGCGGCCCAACGAAGTCATCTCGTGGAGTCATCTCGTGGCCCAACGAAGTACTGATGGGGTGGTCATAATAATCTGGCCACTCAGTGTATAGGGGTTAATGTGAGGTGGAGTCAGCCAAGCAGTAGTTCAGCCTGAATTATGACAATCCCCTGTAGTGGAGATCACATGGTCAATGCCTAGGCATTTGGTTACCTAATAGATGCTTTAGGAGCCCAGTGCAAATTTCAGGTCACTCAGGACTTTTGGAAGGGGGGCTACTGATGTAAAGGGGGATTTCTGATATGAAGTGCAGACTTCTGATGTGAAGGGCAGAATTTTAATGTGAAGGGGAGGGGCTTCTGATGTGAAGTAGGGACTTGAGATGTGAAGGGGTGCTCTCATGTGAAGGGAGGACTCTGAAGTGAAAGGGGGGCGTCTGATGTGAAGGGAGCTCCTAATGTGAAGGGGGGGGAGCTTCCATTGTGAAGGGGGGCTTATAATGTGAAAGAAGGGGGCTTCTGGTGTAAAGTAGGGTTCCTGATGTGAAAGGAGGGCTTTTGATTTAAAGGGGCTCTGATGTTAAGGGGGCTTCTGATGTGAAGGAGGAGGGCTTTTAATGTGAAAGGTGGGCTTGTGATGTTAACGGGGGGCTCTGATGTGAAAGAAGGGGCTCCTGTTGTGAAGGGAGTTTCTAAAGTAAATGGAGATTCTGATGTGACAGGCAGGATTCTGATGTGAAGGGCAGGTTTCTGATGGTAGAGGGGTGCTCCTGATGTGAAGGGGAGTCTCTGATGTGAAAGGGGGGCTTCTGATCTAAAGGGCAGGTTTCTGATGGGAAGGGAGCTCATGAGGTGAAAGGGGGGCTTCTGATGTAAAAAGAGGGGTGCTCCTGATGTGGAGACTCTTGATGTAAAGTGGGCACTCTGATGTGAAAGAAGAGGGGCTTTGGTTGTGAAGGGAGCTTGTAATGTAAATGGAGACTCTGAAGTGAAAGGCTGGATTCTGATTTAAAAAGAGGGGTGCTCCTTATGTGAAGGGGATCTCCTGAGATGAAAGGGGGTCTTCTAATGTAAAGAGGGGGTCTTCTGATGTAAAAAGAGGGGTGCTCCTGATGTGAAGGGGATCTCTTGAGATGAAAGGGGGTCTTCTAATGTAAAGAGGGGGTCTTCTCATGTAAAAAGAGGGGTGCTCCTGATGTGTAGGGGTCTCTTGATGTGAAGGGGGGGGACTCTGATGTAAAAGAAGGAGGCTCCTGATGTGAAGGGAGCTTCTAATGTAAAGGGAGCTCCTAATGTGAAGACGGACTTTGATGGAAAAGGCACGCTTCTGATGTGAAAGGAAGGGGCTCCTAATATTACATACAGGGGGGGGGGGGCAATTTTTGTAGTGTTTTGCCTGG